AGAACTTCTTTGTTCTCTTTCTGTTGGCTCCCATCTCCCCTGGGACCCAGGTTTTCCATCCCCTCTCATGCATCCTGCGTTCCCCCTCTACGCCCACTCGCCCTCCCGACAGCGCACAAGTGTGCTGCGCACCGCCCGCCTTTAAGACAGTAAGGTACCTCTTCTTGACCCCACGCTTCCCTCCAGCTGCCACTCCATTTCATTGGCCCCTTTTGAGTAGAACTTATAAAAAGAGTTGTGTAGACTCACTGCCTCTCCTTCTTTCCTTGGCCCCCTCCAGTGAAACTCTGCCCCCTCCTCCACGTTGCTCTTGTCCAGGATGCCAACAGCCTGTATCTTGCTGACAAGTCAGATGTAAGGCCTCCTTTCCATCTTGGCAGCGTCTGATGCCATGCATCATGCTCTCCTTGAATCCCTATTTCTCTGGCTGGCAGGACACCTGCTCCTTTTTTCTTTTTATCTCAGTGGGCGCTGCTTCTGTCTCCATCCCTGTCTCCTCCTGGCCTCTGAGCTGTTGGAGGGACCCAAATCTCAACTCTTGTTTTCCTTCTCTGTTTACTTATTCTTTATTTAATGGTTCTTGACCCACTAGCCCAGTGCCCAGCTCTTAGAACTAATACTTTTCTAGACTGAAATGAAAGTCACAGTTAATATATCCTTGCAACACATAATTTAAAAAATTAGTATTATGCCATAAGTGTATTATGAAGGAAAATTAAAGGAAAGTGATGATAAGATTATGCATTTCAGGACTTAAATGCTTGGACACAACTTACATATATGACATATTTAAAGGTGCACTTCTACCTAGAGCAATAGTTAGCAATGTGGACTGATACAAGTGTATTGTGTGGACAGAATCAGTCAGGGTAATGTGATTTTCTGAAATCGTATCTCTTGATAAAATTTTGAACAAAAATTAAATTCCTTTGTAAAGTTTAAGTGGTAAGTCTATTTCTGGAAAAATTCAATACAAAAACTAAGTCTTGGATTTATATGTAAAATGGAGTTAGGTTCTAGGCCCAGATCATTATAAACAGATTTTTCTCTTTACATGAATGTTTGTCAGTGCATTTGAAAGTCTAAGAGGATTTTGCAATAATTCTTCATTTGGTGGACGTTGCAGCACCTGGATTCCCTGCTTCCTTACCAGTAATGCCAGTAGCAACCCAAGTATTACCACCACAAACATGCCCTGAGGTTTCCAAACATCCTGGAGGGGGCAGTATGATCCTCTTTAGGACAGTGTCCTACGCAGTCCCATCCCCTGTCATCCGGGGCTTTCCATCCTAGCTGTTATTTAAGTCTCCACGCTCATCTCTCCTTGCTGTCCTCCCTTGGACATCCATGGGCGTCTCAGATTCACATGCTCAGCCCCGCTACTCTTCTCCCACAGACTTGCTCCCCCTCTTCCCTGACTCAGTGATACCACCATCCACCTAGCTGCTTGACCAGAGATGTAGGGCTCATTCTTAACCCTCTCCTCCATCCCCCATACATCCGTCTTTACTGTCTTTACATCCGTCTGGCCCCCCTTCACTCTCCCTCTCTGAGCTTGTCTCCCTGTTTCTGTTCTTGCCTCTTCCTCCTCATGGTCTCAGCTTTACGAGGTAGTCAGAACGATCCTTTTCAAACATAAATGCAATCACATCATTCTCCTGCTGTCCCCCTCCTGTGGCTGCATGCATGTGTACGATCTGGCAGGACCCACTGACCTGAGGCCTGGCACCTCCCCAAGCTCACTGAATATGCTGCTGTTGTGCTCTGTCCCCACAGCAGTCTTGCTTACCCCAGATGTCCAGAGCTCACTCCCTTGTGCCACTGCCTCTCCTGGGGCCTTCTTCCTCTAGTATGCATAATAAGGTTCTCCCCTCACTTCCTTCAGGTGTCATACATGTGTCACCTTGTCCAGGAGGCCTGCCTTGACTTTTCTGTCTTGATTGTCACTGAATTCTGGAAAGCATCTGGGACATAGTAAACGTGCAATAGGTATTTGAATATTTAAAGCAGATAGTCACAGAACTCCTCTGTTATGTGTCAGGTACCCTGATGGACTCCAGCATAGAGAGTGGAATGGATCATGGTCCCCATTCAAAGGGAGCACATGATCTAGAGGCCCAGCCGTGAAGAGTGGGATTTCTCGCTCCCACAGATAAGCTTATAGCTCCTTGTCCTGTCCCCCTCAGCTCCCACCAAACTTGGTCCTTTTAGACTAAAGTTAGATGTCACCTCCTACAGAAAGCCTTCCACATACTGTTACCAGTGTATGTGTGTGTGTGAGACACACATTTAGATGACTGTTTTTTGTGTTCCCATTTGCTGAGCAAATGTCTGTGCCACTAGGCTTTGCTGTTTTGTAGCATAATTATCTTTTATTTTTTAACAGGTTTTTGGGATACAATTCACATACCATTCAGTTCATTCATTTATACCTTTCAATGGTTTTTATTGTATTCACAGAGTTTTGCAGCCATCACCACAAATAATTTTAGAGCGTTTTCGTCACCCCAGAAAGAAACCCCACACCCTCTAGCAGTCACTCCCCATCCCCCCAGCTCCTAGCTCTAGGCAAACACTAATCTAGTTTCTGTCTTTCTGGTTTGCCTATTTCAGACATTTCAAATAAAATCATACCATATATAGGATTTTGTGATTGGCTTCTTTAACTTAGCACATGTTTCAAAAAGGTTCATCTATGATGTAACATGTATCAGTACTTAATTCTTCCATATTGCCAACTAATATTCTACTGTATGGATATACTACAATTTATTTATCTATTCATAACTGGATAGACATTTGTGTTGCTTCTACTTTTTGGGCTATTATGAATAATGCTGCTATGTACAAGTTTTTGTGTGGGCATATGTTTTCATTTCTTTTGGGTATGTGCCTAGGAGTGGAATTGCTAGGGCATATGATAACTATTTTAATGTTTTGAGGAACTACCAGGCTGTTTTCCAAAGTGGCCACACTATTTTGCATTCCCATTAGCAGTCTGTGATTGTTCTAGGTTCTCTGCCTCCTCGCCAACATTTGTTACTCTCTGTTCTATTATAACCATCGTAGTGACGCGCAGTGGTATCTCATTGTGGTTTGGATTTGCATTTCCCTGATGGCTTAAAGATGCTAAGCATCTTTTCATGTGTATATTGTCCATTTTTATATCTTCTTTGGAAAAATGTCCATTCCGGATACTTTACCCATTTTTAAATTGGGTGATTTGTCTTTCTGTTATTGAATTGTGAGAGCTCATTAAATCTCCTAGATATGTAGGACCCATATCAGATACATAATTTGCAAGTATTTTCTCTCATTCTGTGGGTTGTCTTTTCACTTCTTCATAATGTCCTTTGAAGCACAAAAAGTTTCTAATTTTGATTAAGTCCAATTTGTCTTTTTCTTTTGTCATTGTATTCTTGATGTCATATCAAGGTTTTTGCCTAACCTAAAGTCATGAATGAAGATTTACTCTTATAGTTTCTTCTGTGAGTTTTATGACTTACCTCTTCATTTAGGTCTGTGATCTGTTTTGACTTACTGTTTGTGTATGGTGTGAGAGAAAGGGTACAACTTCATTCTTTTGCATTTGAATATCCAGTTGTCCTTGTACTGTTTATTGAAAAGACTATTCTTTAATTGTTTGTCTTGGCATCCTTTTTGAAAATCAACTGACCATAAATATACGGATTTATTTCTGGACTGTATTCTAGTTCATTGATTTATATATATCCTATGTCATTACCACACTGTCTTGTATTCTGTGGCTCCATAGTAAATTTTCAATTCAAGAAATCGGAGACTTCCACTTTGTTGTTCTTTTTTCAGATTATTTTGGCTATTCTGGGTCTCTAGCATTTCCATATGGATTTTGAGATAAGCTTGTCAATTTCTGCAAAAAAAGTACCATCTGGGATTTCAATAGAGTTTATGCTAATCTGTAGATCACTTTGGAAAGTGTTGCCATCTGAGCAATATTGTCTTCCAATCCATGAACATAGGATGTCTTTAGGTCTTCTTAATTTATTTCAATTATGTTTTATAGTTACCAGAGTATAAGTTTATACTTTTAAAAAATTTATTCCTGAGTGTTTTATTATTTTTGATGCTTTATGAATGAAATTGTTTTCTTGATTTCATTTTCAGGTTCATTGCTATTGTATAGAAATAAATTGGTTTTTGTGTATTGATCTTGAATCCTGCAACCTTGCTAAAGTTGTTTATTGGTTCTAACAGTTTTCTGTTGGATTCTATATACAAGATTATGTCATCTTCAAATGGAAATAGCTTTTTTCCTTTCCAACTGAATACCTTTCATTTCTATTTTTTTTTTTTTTGACTGATTGCTCTGACTAGAACCTCTAGTACAGTGTCAAATAGAAGTGATTAAGGCAGACATCTCTCATATTCCTGATTGTAGGGGGAAAACATCTAGTGTTTTGCCATGTGGATTTTTTGTAGATGTCCTTTACCAGACTGATGAAGTTCCCTTCTATTCCTAGTTTGTTGAATGTTTTAATCATGAAAAGGTGTTGGATTTTGTAAAATGCCATCTCTGTGTCTATTGATGTGAGCATGTGGCTTTTGTACTTTATCTATTGATGTGGTGTATTATACTGACTTGGGGAATGTTAAATCAACCTTGCATTCCTAAGATGAATCCACAGTTCTCTTTCAAGTGACATCTTTCTACTAGACTGTGAACTCCACCAGGGCTGGGACCAGTGTCCCCACCCAGGGCTCAACAGGGGCTTGTAACCATGTAGACAAGAAGTGTTTGTTAAAAAAGTGAATGAAAGGACAAACCAGTATAAAATTATTGAAACAACGCTGCTTATCATGTCATTGACTATCAGTTGAGTGGAAGACAAGGTATCTGTATGGTCTATACATCCCAGAGTCTGAACCTGCCCAGCTAAAGGGTTGTCAGCAGTCTCACAGACGTCCTCTGAGGGCCAGAACCAGGGTAGTGGGAGCTGATGTGCTCGTCCTCTCCCCAGGCCTGCTTTCCATGGCCAACTCTGGACCAAACACCAATGGCTCCCAGTTCTTCCTGACATGTGACAAGACGGATTGGCTGGATGGCAAGCACGTGGTGTCACGGAAGGCCTGGATGTCTTGCGGCAGATTGAGGTGGGTGGCTGTCCGGCCCTTGCTGTACAGCCCCTTGGGAGATCTTGGGAGGCTCTGTGGCCTGGAGGGAGGGGCCTAGCTGCTTCTGCTCTGGTTGGGAGTGGGCAGGTTGGGGAGCAGCCCTGAGCTGCTCTTTACTCTCCACCCTCCCTCCCCTGGTTGCCCCTCTTCTGTTCCACCCACAAAGGCCGAAGGTAGCAAGGACAGGAAGCCAAAGCAGAAGGTGATCATTGCTGACTGTGGGGAGTACATGTGAGATGGGGCCTTTTCTGCTCTGTCCCCACGTGTCCAGGAGCTGTCAGCCCCGGGAACTGTACCTGAGGGTGTCCTGTTTGCAGCAAGCAGGAGTTTGTGTCGTAGCCCTTCTCGGGATCACCTTGGAGCAGCTCCTCTGTGGGAGTGGCCTGGGATCCCTCTGGCTCTTTCCCAGTGTGACCATGGGCCTGGGAGCTGGTACAGGCCCCACTGCCCTACCGTGGACAGGCTGTGCATGACCTTTTCCAGGCCTTTGCTGCCAGGACCTCTCTTGGGCCCACCAGTGTGGCTCTGGATGTTTCTTCTGGTAAAATAAACCCTCATTCTTGTAGTGCTGCCTGCCCTCCAGGTCTTAGGTGTTTTCAGAGGGTGTATCTGTGAGTGGAGCACCCGCCTATGACAGGCCAGAGTGCTTCCCCTGCTGTGTCCCTCTCTGCCAGGGCACACCTGTCAGACCACTACAGGATGGCAGAGGGCAGATCTGGTAGAGAAGTGCCTCTGTCCCCTCTCTGTCCTGCTAGGGAGGCAAGTTGGGTTACCACGCTCTATTCCTGCCCTCACCTTTGGTCTGGAGCTTAAGGGGTGCCCATAATTACTCTCAGTGACCTGTTCACCCAGTAGTCAGAATGTAGTACCGCAGAGAGCCCAGGGGCCTTCTGCCAAACACTGTGCTTGGCGCTGGGGACACAACAAACAAGCCAGAGGTGGGTCCTACCCGCTCCCCCCACCCCAGGCCCACCTGGAAATCAAAGATTGGCACCATGGTTTGTAGCCTGTGCTAAACTGTCCTCTCAACCTACACTAGCATTTATTTGGTCAGCCAGGCCACCTCCCAGCCTCTCTCCTGTGCTGAGACTGAACACCAAAAGCCATCTGTCACCAGAAACCTCCTCTAGGGCTGCTGCCTTCTCCCTTGCTGCCTACCAGTGGCTCTGTCTGGACTGAGTCAGGACACTCAGAAGCTGCTGGGCTGGTTCTCATTTTGGGTTGAGATCAGGTTGGGCCTAGAGGGGAGGGGAGAAGCCTGCTGGCCTGTGCCCTAGTGCCCCCGGCCATCTCCTACAGAGGGATGGATGCTAGCCCTGCCTTGGGTGTCCTGGGCCAGCCTGGGTTACCCCTCCAGTTGGCTGGGGCCCCTCCCATGGCCGGGATCCTGTACTTGCAAGTATTCCCAGCACACAGCCTCACTCCCTAACCTAGGTGTTCTCTCACTGGTGGTCAGTCATGGCTGTCAGGATGGGTGGCACTGAGGCCAGGAGAATGCGGGCACTCGGCCGGTGTGATGTCCAGGAGAGGGGAGGACATGTGTGAAGTATTCAGCCTGGTCGGCACCAAGGGTGCTGTGTGGGGGCAGGGATGGAGCGGGCCTCCTGAGGGCCTGGGAGGGAGGAGGGCTACTCCCACAACCCTGTGAAATGGGAGAGGCAAGGGGCCCTTTGTGGCTGTGCTGCCCTGATGGCCCTGGGAAGGGGGAACCTGCAGACTGACCAGGAGGCCAGTGGGCTGGGAAGCATCGGGTGGCAGTTGCTAACCCTGTGCTGTGCAAGTACTTCCCCAGAATTTATGCCCTGGGTCCACCCATGACCCTTGTGCAGGTTTTGGCCTGAGCCTCAGAGGTGAGGTGCCAGGTCCAGAGATGCTGGGCTAATGGCCAGCCTGGTGGCAGGTGTTGACTGGCCTGAGCTGGTTGCCTGCCTTCCCGGAGCTGGAACAGGGCTCCAGATGGAAGAGCCGAGGGGGCCCACACCCGCCGCTAAGGGAGGAAAGGTGAGATCTGGTTGGCAAGTGACCAAACGAGAGCAGAAGTCAAAGGATGGAATGCTTACAAATTATGTTTTCATGGAATATTTAATAACAGATTTTCAAAATATATCATAGATTAAATCACATCACCAATCAGTATGTGAGGTATGATTCTAACTTTGTAAAATATCCATATGTTATATATATGTAAAGACAAATATGTATGTGTCAAGGAAAAAGATTGGAATAGCTGTCTCTGTGTGGTGGGATTATCTGTGTTTATATTTTATTTTTTATTTTCAAGAATTTCCCTGGCACATGTGTCATATTTTCTTAAGTGAGGGAAACAGACTTTTTAGAAAGGGAGCCAAATGCTTGCTCAAGGCTTCCCAGTAAGAAGAGAGACCCAGGCTTCTCCCTTCAGCTTCCTGTGAAGCAGGCAGGACCTCCGGAGCGGGCAGGGGCGAAATGCTGCCGTGTCCTCAGCAGAGGCCCAGGCCAGCCACTGCAGGGCACTGCTGGCTCCTCCCACAGGCAGAGGATGGCGCAAGTCCCTGCCTCATCCCAGCATTACCAAGCTTAGATTTGGGGGAAAAGCCACAGCTTTGAAGGAATACAGTAATGCCTCCTGGGCACATCCTGGAGGAGTAGTTTCAACAGGAAGGCACATGGGGAGGCCCAAAGTTGCACATTTCATTTAAAATAGGATCCCTAATAGATGCTACTCATTCAGCACACATTGGCAGGCATGGAGCTGAGTGCTCTGAGGACAGATCTGGTCCCCAAGATGGCCTTCCAAGAGCAGAACCAACACCTCATTCCACAGAGGCAGGGCTTCTACATCAGAGGTCACGCAGTGTGGTCGGATTAACAAGAGGCAGAGCCAGCATTTGGTGCTAGGTCTCCTGACTCCAAAACCCACCTCCCGTGCACAGCCTCTTCTCTTATGAAATTGTTGGGAATTTCCTGAAGCATGTTGCCCACTTCCCTGCCTTGGGACACAAAGGAACAGGCTTTGCCTGATGCACTCATTGGGGGCCAGAGCTGGGTAGCAGTTGTGAAGATGTGGGGTGGTGGGGTGGCAAGGCCTTACCCTGGAGGGCCGCAGGCCTGCTGTGACCACCCGTATTTATGCTCCTAGTGTGGGGCCTTGTGTTCCCTGGGCTGACAGGGGCAACCAGATAAACAAGATGGCTTTGGTAACTAAACACTGCCCCCTCAGCAGCTTTGTGACTGTAATTCTCTCCCTTCTCCGAAAGAACGAAATCTATTTGATTTCATTTGGTGGTGCTCTGGGTGGCTGAAGGCGCTAGAAGTCTGTCAGAAAGGCCATGATTGCCGAACTTCTGGCTTTACTGCAGGGAAAGGGAGTCATACCATGATGCATGTTCCTGCCCAGCACACCTGGTGGACAAGGCAGTCTGCATCTGCAAAACATTCGTTTCACAAGCTTCCTGTACCCCCAGAGCATGTTGGGTTAGGTGCCAGTCATTGAAGAGACCAAACATTGACATTTTTCAAAAGTTGCCAAGTCTCTACTGCTGTAGTTCCTGGGAGGCGAGAGCTGTTAAGTGAATGGCCTGGAATGGCAGGTTGCAGTCCTGTGGCTGCTGGGCGTGTGGGCTGCATCTGGGCTGTGAGAGAGGAGAGGGGCAGGAGGCAGGGGGCAGGGGGCAGGCAGATACTCTGTTTGGAAGGGCCTTTAGAGATGGGGTTTTGTGTTGTCATGGCACAAATGGGAAGCTGAAGCCTGAATCAAGAAGGGGACTTGTCTGGACACCAAGCAGGTCAGTGACTGGACTCCAGGTCAGTGACTGAGCTGGAATGAGAATATAAGGGGGTCTCCTGGCATGCCAGCCACTGCCTGGCTCAATCCCTGCCAACTGGAGCTCAAAGCCCCAGGCAATGGGAAACATGCCACCTTCCAGACAGGGCCCGCCTGCCCTCTGTACGTGGGGAGGGGCTGCTGTCCCACAGTGAGGCTCCAGCCTCTCCCCCTGCCCATTGCTGCCAGACCTGCTCTCCTGGGACCCCTCCTCAAGGAGCAGAGTGAATTCCAGAGATGCGAATCCTCAGGCATATGTTGCTCCACCTCAGCTGGGCTGTGCCCATGGGTTGAGGCTGGCACAGCATCTGCTTTTAATGACACAGTATTTCAGGGTTCAGGCAGCTGGACTGTGTCTGCCTCAGCAGGTTAATTACAGGCTTAGCAAGTCAAATCAAATAAACACTCCAGCTACCGGTGGTGGCTGCTCCAAGGAGAACAGTGGTTTCCGGGACCCCCCACCCAGGTCAGCCTAATTACTGCCTGTCACTCCGCTAGGACAGGGGCCTTTTCTTTGGCTCACAGGCTCTGAAAAACAGGACAGGGTTCCTGGGCACATGGGGTGACACAGGCTGGTGAGCAGAGGCCTGTTCTTAACTCCTCTGTTCTAACAGATACTGGCAGTGTGCACCATTGCCCCACACCTGGCCAGAGGTGGCCCAGGCATCATGCTCTGGGTGGAGTGGATTGCTTCTCAGCAAGGCAGGAGGGGGAAACCGAGTTCATTTCAACTGAGTGGCTGTCGGCTGTCTGGGTTTATGTGCTAAGGGTGTTGAGGCCTTGTCTAGATTCCATGGAGGAAGTCCCCAGGGTGGCCATGAGCAAGGGTACAGGGACAGTGAAGCCTGAATCAAGAAGGAGACTTGTCTGGACTGTTGTTTGCAGGCCTGACACCCACTATAGCCCTCGTCCTTCTGCTAAGAGTTAACTGTCTCATGCTGAGCCCCACATAGAGGTGGTGAAGGGAACTGAAGTTCCCAAAGTCCTTTGCTTCTCCAGGGGTCACACTCTTCCCCAGTCAGGAGGAGGGCAGGCCCAGGCAAGGGAAGACACTACCATTAACGTCCCCATCAGTTCAGCCTTAGCCTGAGGCCCATGCAGCTTGTTCTTTTCCTAACCTGCTAACTATCAGCGGGCCAAGTGAGGAACCCAGGAATACCCTGCAGCCAGGCATGTGCATGTCTACACTGGAAATGCCCAGCGCTGTGCCTGGGCAGGGGCAGACCCCCCTCCCACATCAAATCCTGTGGTGAGGGTTTCACAGTCCACCCAGACAACCTCATGCCCTGGCTGCTCCTTGTACTCCCCCCGGGTTGGCCAGTCTAGGGCAGGAATGGCCGACGACAGCTCCTAAGATAGGACTTGTGGCCGACAGCAGACTGTCCTCTGAGGTGGCCTGTGTGCGCCGGGCTCACCATGGTTGGTTGGGACAGTCCACCACAAATGGAGGGGATGTAGACAGGGATGCAAGGGCCCTCCCTGCTGCCCCACCCAGCTATGATGGCACTTGAGGGTTTCTGGCCTCCGGAGGGGCTAGGTGCGGGCGCGGCACTGCAGTGGCCCAGGGTGGCTCAGTGGCAGCCGCAGGCCCTGACCACCATGTTGCGGTGCTTGCGCAGGATGACGTTGTTGCTGCTGTCATAGTACAGCACGGAGGTGGCGCTCAGCTTGGTGGGTGCACAGCACGCCTTGGGGACTGCGTCTGGCTTCATCAGGTGCACCTGGCCAGGGAGGGGACGGTAGGCAGAGGTATGAGCTCAGCGCCCTTCTCCCAGGACCCTCCTGGCCCGGCCCTGGGGTCACAACTGCTGGCCCTCCCTTGCTCCGTTCCTAGCCTGCAGCAGGGCAGAGCTAAGTCAGTCTGCCCCGGCCCACCCTCCTGCACCCCTTCCCTGACCCTCTGCCTCAGGCCACATCCTGGATGCCTGCCTGCTCCCTGCCACACACACCCCCCGTAGACCCGTGAACCTGCTGGTCCCCAGCACACAGCGCGCCTGGAGCCCAGCCCCTGTGCCTGACGCCTGCAGCACTAGCCCTCTGGGGTCCCTGCCCATCTGTAACGTCCCTGATCGTGTCTTGTCCGCATTAGCTGTTTATGGTCTGTCTGCCTCTGTGAGCCGGTGGATGTTCCTGAACACCTGGATAGAGCCTGGAATTCTAGGTTCACCCCAGGGTGTTCAACACTGTTAATACCCAAAGCACTTTTCACCCCTCTAACGACCTCTAAGGCACGTACAGACGAAGGCCGAGGGCACAGAGGCCATGTGACGCGCCCAGAGTCACCCAGCTTCCTGGCAGGGTGGCAGAACTAGGACCCGGGGCAGTGGGCCTGCTCCCTTCCTCCCAGACGGCTTCACCCACCATAACCAGCCTGATGGACGAGGCTATTTCCAGCCTCCCTAAAAATATTTCTCCTGAGGCTTGGCAGGATCAATGGCGTTTCTGCTGGACTCCAAGCCAGGGCCCCAGGCGGACGGCCCTGGAGGCGGCCCTGAGCTGTCATCAGGAGGCAGGAGAGGAAAGGGGACTTGCTTCCATCCACCTACTGGGGCCATAAAGCCTCTTAACCCTCACTGAGGCCATGAAGCAGGACCAGGATGCAGCTGCCTGACTGGGGAGCCCAACTGGAAGCGTGGCCCACATACCCACTGCCCAGCCTGTCCCAGAAGCCCCATCTCTGAGCCAGCCTGCTGGGAGGACTGGCAGCCAGGCACTGGGCTACCCTGGGGCCCAGTGGCCTCCCAGGGGATGAGGAGACCAAGGCAGAGGCCCTGTTGCTCACTGGATGCATGTTGTGCGTAGGCCCCACCCCTGAGACTCATTTCTCTGGCCAGTGGGTATGATGGTACTGTTCTTTCTCATTTCCAACACAAACTTACTGGATACGTGCCTTGTGCCAGCCCTGCCAGGATGGGGGGCACAGAAGTGTTCCAAGATGGTCCCAGTCTCACAGCCAAGGAGGGGAGGGAGGGAAGAGCTGGGGAACAGTCCAGCAGATAGTCAGGACCCGCGGGAGCCATGCAACCCTCACAGCAGGCCTGCAGGCCTGGAAGGTGAGCCTGGATGGTCCGTGGCAGAGAAGGACCACAGAGGTGAGGAGCAGGGTGAGTGTGAGGGGCAGGGCCCAGGGCCACCAGGAGGCCCTCCCAGTAGAGGGAACAGCAAGTGCCAAGGCAAGGGGGTGGGAAACACATGTCCTGGCCCCACGTGTGCAGGCATGGGTGCTGGTGATGCTGTCATGTTGGCAGGGTGGCTGACGAGGCCCCAGCCATGGGTTCAGGCCTGCCTCTCGATGATGGGAAGGAGTGAGAAGTTTCTTTGCTGAAACAAGGTGGTCAGGAGTCCTTTAGTGAGACCCCCTGGCTGCTGTGTGGAGATTGCCCAGAGGGGGTGCTTTGAGGGACCCACTTCCTCCTCTGGGCCCCCAGAACACCCTGTCCTCCAACCCTCCCCTGGCCTCCCAGGGGGTTCTCTTCCTCCCTGGGCCTCCCCACACAGGAGGCCTGCCTCTGCTGCCTCCACTCTCCAGAGAATCTCATCTGTTCTCAGAACTCCAAGGCCACCCAGGAGCCACATATCTCAAGTTCAGAGCTTCAGCTTGGCCCCCTCCTCTGTGCTCCAGACTTGGGCATCCGGCTGCCTGCCCAACTTGGCCACCTGGGGCCTAACGGGGCCTCACACTTGGCCCCCAAAGCAGAACTGATCCCACCAGCCCTTCCCCCACCCAGCACACCTGCCCCCACAAGGCTCCCGCCCATCCTCAGGAAGGGGGTCCTTCCTCTCCCTCACCCCGAGGCCCCTGGATTCCTCCCCTCCACCCTAGCTGCCCCCGTCCACACCAGCCGCCTGGTGCTCTTGTCAGTGACCCTGCAGCCTCCACACTGGCTCCTGCTTCCTCTGCCCTTGACCCCATCTGCCCTCCAAGGGCACCAGACAGGCTCTTCCTGAGAGCTAGTCAGCATGAGGCTCTGAAAACCCCACACCAGGTTCTCGGTTTGCTCGGGATTAAATCCACCGCCTGACCCTTACAGAGCCCCCAAGGCCCTGTGTGAGCCAGCCCCTGCCACCTACTGCCATCTCTTCCCCTCCTGTGCTCCATGCCAGCCCCACCTCCCTGCAGACCTGAGCCCCACCAGCCCTCCCGGGACCTGCTTCTGCGGAGGCCCCACCTTCCCTCCTCACAGGGCCCCTCCTCCTGGCCTTTCCTTTGCTCGACTGGGGGCAGGAAGACCTGGGAGGTGCAGGGGCGTCGCCAATGGCCCCCAGAGGCTGTGAGAAGAATGTGCAGAAAGGGCAGGCCTGGGAGCCACACACCTTACCACCCCCCAGTTTCTCCAAGGTCACTGCTCCCAAGGCAGCAAATCCCACTCCGCTGATGAGAAAGGTGGTGTCAAAGAGTCAGAGGTCCCTTCGTTAGTTCATTTCCTCCCACCCAAAGGCATTGCCTTTAAACACACTCTGGAGAGAGACAAGGCTCGGCACTCTAGGGACTAGGACCTAGGTTAACATTCTAGAAAGAAGTCTCAGCCACCGAGTCAACAAACATTCAAAACGCTCAGCAATACGCAGCTGCAGAGCGCTGCTCCCATAACCCGCACTTTGGCATTAACGTTTCCCCAGACGCAGGGAGGCCAAAACCGCACACGGTCTGTGGAGGTAACAGCTGGAAGGTGCCTGGAGAACGAGCCACGGCTAGACAAGAGCCCCTCAGCGCCCAGGGCGCACGGGGACTGTCTGCACACTCCAGGGTAGGTGGGCGTGCGCATGCACAGCACCCATGTGGGCTGCCGGCTACTATGTCTGCCCCATGCTCTGCTGTCACGCAGGCATGCCTTTCTCAGTCTGGTACCCACAGTATGTACATGGGTGTCCCCTGTCTCTGTGTGGAGGGCACAGAAATGTACGTATGCACCAGCAGGGGTGTGAGCCAGGTGTGCGCATGGCCAGGTGTGTGGGCATCTAGGTGTACAGTGTGGCCACATGGCGACCAGCTTCCATGTGGTGTGGTCCATGTGGTGTGGAAAGGACACTACACGTGCAGGAAAGTTCCACACATGAAGCTGCCTGAGACACGAGCAGGTGCACCCATTCACCTGCTGCTGCAGGAGCGACTCCCCCAGGGCCCCACAGAGGGGCAGGTACTGACCAGGGACTGCAGAATGGCGTGGTTGGTGGCATTCATGCAGGAGTCCAGCGGGAAGGAGCACTCCCCATCACAGTAATAGGCCGAGTAGCCCTGGGGGGCGATGACCCAGTCCTGCAGGAGAAGGGGAGAAGGTGAGTCCCAGCCCAGTGCCCCTCGAGCCCCCAGGTGCAGCACCTGGCACGGGACCAGGGCTGTCCTTGCCTCCTCAGCCTCTGGGCTCAGCAGCCTCCCCGCAGAGGCCTGGCACCCACACCGAGCTGCTCAGCA